CCATAAGAGAGCCTCATTTACTATATTTCCTGCGTCCACTCGTCGTTCTATTTCCTTGTTATATCTACCATCCCTGCTAAATACACAAACTCATCTACTTGCTGCCCAACTCCTCTTCTATTCTTATTTCACATATCGTTTTATTTTATTCTCTTTCAAAAACCATAACTTTCATCTTACTTGCGTTCACTTTCATTCCCCTTTGTTATAATAACCTGTTCATTAATGTAACCATCACGTGCAACTCACGCATTTTTAACCTGCATTCTTCAACTTTCAAATTTTCCTAACAACTGTCCATAAATAGGTTGAACAGCCACGGAGAAGCCACACAACTCTAGCATCCATAAAGGTGTCAGACACCTTTATGGATGCCAAACCAGTCCGAGTAGACCCCGTCGATCCTGACACAAGCACTAGAGTCCCTATAAAGAGACTTTACTGCCTGTATCAACCCAGCGCTCAACCCAAATGAGTTCAGTGTTTGCCATAACACATCCCTGTCCATTGTCATAAGCCTTTCCAAGTCCATGAACGCACAAAAAACTTTTTGGTTTTTGGCCATAAATTTCTCCGCGATCATGCGCATGGAAAAGATTTGATTCGTACTCCCCATTCACTTTCTAAATCCCGCTTGCAAATCCCAAATTTTTCCATCGGTTTCTTTCATAACTCTTTTAATTAGTACCTTAGCATACAGTTTTCCCACAATACTAAGAAGGCCGATATCACGGTCATTTTTACAGTCCTGCTGTGACCCTTTTCCTTTATATATTGGGACTGACACGGCTATGCACCGGTCTCCCGGTACCCGCTTCATTTTCTCAACATAAGTTAAACAATACGTACAGCAGGCCTGCCACCACTCCCTCTCCAACCCTTAGCATTTAGAGTGATACTCTATCATATCCGACTGCCTTACCTGCTTTCATGCTTTTCATTGCTTTCATTATTTCATCTATACTGTAGTGTTCGCGATAATATAAGAAATCATCATCTATACTTATCTCCCTATCTCTTTCCTCTTCTTTCGGAATTTCTATTTCATTTAATTCCAACGTCTCCTTATTTACAAACACGTTTTCAAAGTACTCCTTCCATCTCTTTAAACTCGAAACGTCATCATTCAGAATACAGTCACTCTGGTCTTTTATAGCATTCATTCTAGGCTCTAATGTCTGTCCCGTGTAATGAATATCCCCTGGCAGTTCTTACGAGTTTAAAGAACATTTTGTTATTTGCTTGGAAGTTATCCAATTTTTTCTATCATTCTTATCCGTTCTTTCTTACTTTTTCCTTTTAACTACTTCTTTTACTCTCTTATTTAGACGTATAAGTCTTTTTATCCTCATTCATACCGCCAGAATTACCAGCCTTGGTTGCTAGTAAATTTAGCCATGCTCTCTTCTTTGCTTCAACTTCCATCCGTACCTCATCATTCCACCATAACTTATTATTTTTCTTTTCATTATTTCTCTTACTCACACCACATACTTCAGTCGCTGCATCCACCAAACCTTTCTTAACATTATCCCACAAAGTCTAAATCATTCATACCCAATTCATCCAAACCACTTATATTTTATCTCAGTCTACATTTGTACAGCTTTTTCACACCTTCATCTTGTAACCTCTCTGTTCTTATACGCTGTGATCACGGTGATCACCAAGTAATGATCCATCCCTACGTTGGACCCCGGTAAAGCCTTGTATCTAACACTGCGCTCCTCATTCTTTCATCCACAATTATAATACTCGGATATAAGTGGGCTTAGACATGTCTGGTGGCTTAGACCTCTAGATCAAACAACTACTTTAAGACCATTTTCATTCGTATCCATAGCAGTATTGTGTTTACACAACATTCTTTCTGAAACGATGATACCGACTCCCTGGCACACCCGCTCAGTCTCGTCTACACTAAACCAGTACGCGGTATACATGCCATGTGTAGTGGCATCCTTTCCCTTCCGTTTCGTCTCATTTACACAAAACACATATATTTCTCTGTCATACATTATATCGCATACTTTATCAATCTTATAATACATTGCTCCACATATATTCAGCGAAGCTAAACGGGCTACCGCGATCCACTTTTCGCCCCTCTGAAAGACAGAACGTGACGGGTGGTGAATCTTGTCACCGGTTTTCTCCCGAAGATTCTCGCACCCCTGCCCCATTTAATGGGCACCGGGAAGTCGGGGCCATTTCTTTTCTTCGTTGCCTCATGGTGCGAAACTAGGGGGTGGTATATTTTACGCCGCTACCACACGGTGAGGATCCAAGTCTGTCCTTTGGGCTTTGTCACTCATAAAGCACCACCCGGGGGACACGTATAGGGTAGGCCAAGGATTAGTTGGTCGAAGCCTACAGACGCGAGCGACTCCACCCCTCAATATAATATTTCCAAAATATTATTCGATCTTTTTATTAAACTTTCATCAAATTTAAATAAAAAGAACGAATTATAAAAGAAGTATTTTTTTTACTTATTATAAACCAGTGCTTGACTACAATCCCACCTGGTGGTAAGTAGTGATGTAGCTCTAGATGGTAAATCGCACTGTCTTAGCGTAATAAAAGCCTATTAACTCTTACCTTGAAGACGTCTACATTGTATTGCCAACATATATGCCATCATCCGGAGCTTTGCGGTCTCGAGCATCGAGCAATCGGCGTTGAATAATGGGCGAGCCACCGAATACCACCTAACTTTATGTTGGTATTCTGTGCGAGCGGAGTCCTTCCCCGGTCAGGTAGTGCAGAACTGGGCTAACTGGTTGGTGCCGCATCATAGCTCTACCGCGTACTACAAAATTCGAGTACGATACAAATACTAACGGTTGTAGCTTAAAAAATATATATCGGAAATGACAACAGGAGATCCCACTTCTGATGTCGGAGAATTCAACAGGAGATCCCAATTTTGATCTCGGATATATATCAGGATAGCGTTAACTGTTAAAAATAAAAAGTGTGAGAGCGCATGTTCTACTTGCTCTCTTGCTTACGCAGTTTAATCATTATCAGTATTAAGACAACGTAACGCACTATACATTCAGTATAGTGAAATTACAGTTTGACCACACCGTAATACGTCTCAGCTACAATCAGACACCAGTGTAACGTGGGGTACGTAATTACATGATAACACCAAAATATGTACAGCAACAGCAACACTACTTATCTCAATGTAACACAGGGCAGCCTCTCAGCAACACCAATCCTCCTTGCCTGCACTAGAAGAATTACCACAACGAACAGAACCACGACAATATCTTAGCACTAGTCGAATGACCACACCCGTTGAATAACTTAAGCGGACTCTCTCGCGCACGGCACCTACAGTGAACTTTATACTACATACACAAGAGGGGGTTTCTCGATATACCCTCCCTTCTACCTCGATCCAACCGGGTATTTTATAGACGCTCCGACATATATATGTATTTTGTGCGTGGTAGAGCCATGCTGCAGCTATATTAGTAGTATAGTTGCAGCACGAATGGGTCGGCTCGACCGGGGAAAGACCATGCTCTCACAGAATACCAGCGTAAAATAGCAGCTTAACACTACTGTGTTTCGTATGGTGAGTGTAGAGAACCGGAGATTCTTTTTACTGGAAAAGAGGCATTCTATCTTAGTCGTCACGGATGACAACGCATCTGCATTTTGATTCGCAAACGAGGATAGATGTAGATGTCTATGGGCCACAGCAACCATCAGGTAGACTGTGTGCTCGTGTGTCACCCTATCCGATAATAAAAAAACATATTATTAGGATTAATTCATTAAGTGAAAGCACCTACTTCAAAATCAAAGGTCGGCTTACATGGAGTATTGAAGGCACAGCGACAGTTAAATTTCAACGGTAGAAGCTCATTAAACTTCTTTATAACATTCATCGTTCTAAATCACTGAAATCAAATATACACCTATAAACAAAATTATATCCAAAATTAATAAGATTGTGAAATAAAAATTTAATATTTTGTGTGTGCCATCAATATTGATTTTTTTGATTCAGTTGTCTTTAAATGAAACTAATTTTTTCGGATTTTATCGCGTTTACTTTAACTTTTAAATTCCCGACGTTTCGAGTGCTTTATAGCACCCATGGTCGCGGGGAGGACTGAGTGTGACCGGAGGTGTTTAATTTCAATAGCCTCAAAAAAACATCCTAATTTCAATAGAGAAGATGAATGGGTGCTGCCATCTGCTTGGGATCCTATAGTTAATAAAATCAAATTCAAACCCAAGCATACCACTGCAGGACTTCAAGATACTGTAAGCTCAATCTGCGTGGATCGGACTAAACTAACTCAGTCCCCCCCCCCCCTCCCCCGTCGTGTCATGGGTGCTGTAAAGCACCCGAAATGTTGGGAATTTAAAAGTTAAATTAAACGCGATAAAATCCGTAAAAATTAGTTTCATTTAATGTGTAGTCTTGGCGTAAATTTAAGAAAGCATCAGTTGTCTTTATTATAAAAAAAAAACAATATATCGTTACACTAAATATTATTTTTACAATTAAATCGAAACCACTTCAGAAAATTAATTTCTATTAGTTGAAAATGCCTTTGATTTATAAGCATTATTAATATTCTAGAAGAATATTTAATACTATGTAATTACAGGCGCCTAATATCTTATATTAGTAACTACTTCAATACGAGGCGTAGCAAGTCCATCAATCCCTGTCGTTTAACCGCTTAACTTCTAAACTTATCCATTTATAATTCTTTGGACCCGCCCTCACTTATCACTTTGAAATGTTTAATAACAGCTGTACCTGCGGCGTTAGTTACATTTTCTATAATTACTTATTCCTAAGTGTTACTATACTTTTCATATCAAGTTCAGTAACAAAACAAAACTCGGAAGTTTCAACTAACAACATTTAATATTAAATGGAAAGAAAATCAACGCCTCTTCCTTCGGTCTGAATATTTATTCATTGTTTGCCTTCTATCTTATCGGTGTAAGTATTCGTGAAAATGTCGGAAATTTCGAAAAGAGAAGCTAAACGTGAAATTGCTGAATCTTTATCCCTCAGTGTATTTTGCATGCAGCGTATAGGCATTTCTTTTGAAAGACCAAAGCAAATCTCATTGTACTTTCGCCAAAAAATTATATTCATTATATCCGTGTGGAGTATTTGCTACCACGTTTTCAGCGAGCTTGTGTTCATTGGATTAACATTTTGGAACTCACCCCGTGTAGAAAATGTTGTGCCGCTATTACACACGTTTGGATACGGTGCATTAAGTAAGAAAATTCGTTCCGTTTTAAATAATATTTAAATTAAATTACACAGTGTCGCTAGTCTAAAAACAGAAAAAGGTTTTTTTTAAACTATTATAAGCCAGTGCTTGACTACAATCCCACCTAATAGTAGATAGTGATGTAATTAAAGATGATAAAATCAGTGCGTTTTAGCTTTACAAATGCCTATTCACTTTTGCTTTTAAGTCACCCACATTATGATTGGTACTTTGCTGTACGCATTCCGAAGACAAAGCAAACCGTTTGGTTTGAATGCGTGGTATGTTGACAACAAAGGGGATGAGACTGGTCAAACGTAGCTTATCCGATGATGGAAGAGAGAGGGAGGAATTTGGTCATGAAATTTCTGCGGACATTTTCCGAAATGTCCCCTGTTGTAGAATACCAAAAGGCTGGCTACTTTGCGCCTGTACTGTATTCGAGACTAATAAGATTGCCTTTAACCAAACACAAAAATACAATCCAGTAAGTAGGAGCCAGAGTGAGAAGGCTCCGTTGCGTGAAGTGACACTTTTGTGTTTTGAAGTCATTGGATCTCACAAGATTTACAGCGCCTGATTCGAAGACTACCTTTGGTTAAATATTCGGAGGATCTACCATATCTTTCCTTTCAGACTGAAATAGATCCTAATTGGCTGGAGCACTTATTAATATCTCCCCACAACTGTGCTGTCGTCTGCGTACCCATAAATGCCACTCAAAAGCAGGTCAATGATATGCAGCAGGAAGAGAGTTGCGGAATAAATATCCCAGAGAAACTCCGGCATTTGTCGTCATAGACTCATAAGAGAGAGGCTAGTATGCTAGTCCCTATCAAAGGCATTTGAGATATCAAGGAAAACAGCAATTGCTTTCCCATTTATCAATAAAACCACGCCTCATATGTGCACAGCAAACACTAGAAAGTCCTTTGCCGACCCATAATGTTTTTTTTTTATAGAATAAGGGTGACAAACGAGCACACAGTCCACCCGATGGTAAGTGGATGCTGTGGCCTATAGACATCTACTCTCTATCTATCCTCCATTAAAAATCAAAATGCAGATGCGTTGCCACCCCTCAAGACAAAAATGGTATGGTGCACCCACTTTTCAACCTACCTACCTATCTACTATCGGTTTACATTCTGTTTTGGGTGTGTCATAAGGTGGGCGTTAAATATTCTTGCTGATTATGGATGTAGTAAAAATTGGCCGATAATTGGCAGAGTTGGTAAGGCTGCCTCATAATTCTCCCATGAATTGCATATTTTTTCAAAATGATAAATACGTAATTGAGCCTTTGTCAAATTAGCCAATTCCTGCTATTATCACATAATATATCTTTAAACTGTCTTATACTATACATTAATGTAATAATAATAATAATTTGTAGTAATAGTTTCTATTTGTAATTTAGAACGTTTGTATCTTAAAATTACTTACATCCTGACAATATTTTATGTAATATCCCATACGGTAATATAACCTATTACCGTACTAATAATTAATATATAAAATAGATGAATATATTAATTTATATAAAAAAACAGAAACAAAAATTTTTAAGTTTTGTACATTACACATGAACCTTTTTAGGTTCACTGCTAGACATAAGATTTTCCAAGAATAGGTGCTGGCAAGCATTACTTTGAAGTTATTGAATGCATAGACTTGCCCATGTCCTGATATGCTGATGTACCCACAGTCTGGTAATGACCAGTGCATGACATTTGCGTTCAGCGTTTTTAAGATAGATTTCGTCCATCGATCGGTCGCTAAAGCATCGTCCGTCAATCAACAGGATGCAGGTGGAGGTGGCATTTGGGGAGAAAAGGGGAAGGGGAAAAATACTTTATCTTACCTTTAAATTAAATAATATGGTCTTACTAAAAAAATATGTGGTAGCTCACAGGTAAGTTTCACAATACACGAGCAACCTGAATGCAATCCCTGCCAGTACCAATGAAATTGTTAATTGCAATTTTAAGTGCTGATTTCGCACGTGCTCGGTGGTGAAGGTATACATCGGGTAAACAAACATACAACATCATGTTAAGTTCGCCGACATAGCCTGCAGCAGCACGAAGTACAAATTGCTCCATAACCCACTCAAAATGAGAGGAGGCCTGTGAACAACAGTGGGACACTTATACACTGTAACTGTAGTTTACTTTTATAAAGAAAATAAATTCTATTCAGGTATTGCGAAGGTATTTGTGCTATGGTATAAAAAGGATGTGTTCGGACAACTCTTGCGTGAGCTGGCAGATATCTGGCCTACACCTCCACTTGACGAGGACGCCCAAAATATTAAGAACCAGAGTCTCACTGCGTTACGTATAGCACATCGATGTACGTATATTTCATCTATTTCCTTATCATACTTTAGATAATATCTATCATAGTAAATGTGAGGATATCTATACAGATAATGAATCTGTAAAAAAAAATGTAAAAACTTAAAAACTACTGAATGTATTTAGTATAGGTATAGGCGTATCTTTTCATCAGACTTGCGAAGTGTATGTTTCAACTTTTTTAAGTTTTTCTTTTCGTAATAGCTGTTGAATATTCTATTAATCATAACAAAGATAACGTAGAGGTCTTAAAATGTTTACTTTATTTGTATTTATAATAACCTGTACATAATATAATAAATCTGCAGAAAAAAATTGCGTTTACCATTCACGCAAAAACCAATAGACGGATTTCCAAGTAATTTGTTAATTATATCTAGGCTACTTATTATCCGGCTTCGTAAGTACAAAAAAATAAGGATTAAATTTTTGTGCCCATTATTTAAATCGTGCCCTAATTCAAATACATAATAAATTAGTCGATAAAAATTGAAAATTTGAAATTGTGTTAAAAAATGCTTATCTATACCAATAAATAAAAATCGATCACAACATAGACAACAAAATGAATTGAACACAAAACATTTTTCAAATCAAACATATTATATTATTTGGATTACTATAAAAATGTACTGTGTGTAGAAGTTTGATCCCCACCAGCATCCATGAAATTGTTGGCTGAAATTAAATACTAATTTACTACGTGCTCGGCGGTGATAAAAAACACCGTGAGGAAACAAAATTTTTTCTAAAAAGTAGAAAAAAACAACCAGAACTTTTTTTGATTTTAAGTTTAATTTGCTATGTAACTGCATGTTCTATCTTTTTCCACGAATGTATAAATAACGACAATGGCTGTGAACACAGAGGATAAGCGTTTCGCTGCGGTGTTGCGGGTTGATTTCTAAAAGGAACAAGTATTTATATGGCCTACAAATAATTGTTTCAGGTCTAGGTATTTATTAGTCAATGTATAATAAATGTCTATAAAACTCTTTTTTAATGTAAGCTACTATTATGAGAACTGTTTGCTCGTTTGTCACTCATGGCCATGTGTGAGCAAGCACAAGTGCACTCCCACCAGAAAGGGCGGCAATCTGGCTCGCCCGGGAGTGAAATACCACCAACTTCCTGACTCTACTCAATTTTCTAAACAGTGAAACCCTTTAACTGATTTTGGCCTAACACGGTATTCAACCCGGGACAAATTCATCAACCGTAGCGGCTATAGCGACCAGACCAAAGTGGCCGTTAAATATAAAAGCCTATTTTTACACAATATCAACTTAAACGTCTTATACACGGTCCATCTTGACGTACGTCCCGCCAAGGTCTACGACGCAAAATGACAATGAGTAAACTTAACGTATGTCCATGAAGTACGTCAAATGACGTACGTCAAGCGTATTCATTGTCGTTTTGCATCATGCGTAGTGTATGACCTTGGCGGGACGTACGTCAAGATGGACCGTGTATAACACGTTTTAATGACTGTGACACCTGCTAAGATTCTGTAATTAGTGTGTCTATTATCTGCCTTGTAATAAATTACCTACATCGAATTTTATACATTATTTTTTCAGGGTACTTCTGGCTGAATTTATCTGGAGTATGGTTCTATAACTTAACACCAATCGGTGTCTACTTCTTTCGTCTATGGCAGGGTCAAAACGCGAAAATTGGCTTCGTGTGGGTATCGTGGTACCCGTTCGATAAGCACAAACCAATTGCTCATGTTGCTGTATATGTTTTCGAAATTTTAGCTGGTAAGAACAAATGCATTATAATATTTTAAATCACTGTCATCTTAATGTATTAAAAAACCCGTGTCACGGTGTTCGTTCTAATAATCTCCTAATCTCCTAAAGCGCTCAGCCAATTTTAACGAAATTTTGTAAATGTAAATTGCTTGCTCCAACTTGAAAAGATAGGATAGTTTTTACCACGATAAGTGGCCCTTAATATTTATTTGTTTCAATTTTAAGGATCTTTCACGTCCTTCCCGTCATCGGAAAGACAGAAGAACGTCTGCCTGATCCATTTTTAGAATATAAAACCAAGTTTTTACTGTAGTATCAATATAATAATTTGCATAGGACTGATGCTACGGTAAATAATTTCTAAACATTTAATGAAACTAATTTTTACGGGTTTGGATTTAATTTTATTAATTATAGGATCCCAAGCAGATGGCAGCACCCAACATCTTCTCTATTGAAATTAGGAATACAAAACCCAAGCATACCACTGCAAGACTTCAAGATACTATAAGCTCATTTTGCGTAGATCGGACCAAAAATTAATATTCAAAAACTGAAGGTAGCCGGGCTAACTATGACATCAGGACGTCAAACACCTCAGTCCCCCCCGTAACCATGGATGCTATAAACCACCCAAAACGTCGGGAATTAAAAAAGTTAAATTCATTGACACAAGACACTGCGATCGTCAATTCGCCTGTCCAGCGTGACGATTAAGGCAAATACAACGGGAGGGGCCCGTCTCCAGCAGTCGACTTTTTCGGACCGTTAAAGAAAGAAGTAGAAAAAGAAGGACGACCGGATTATTATGTAATACATCTTTCTGCATGAAATATTTCATCATCATCATCATTACAGCCCTTCACAAGTCCACTGCTGAACATAGGCCTCCCCCAAGGAATGCCACAAAGCACTGTCCTGAGCCACCTGCATCCATCGACTTCCTGCATATCTTACCAGGTCGTCACTCCATCTAGTGGGGAGACGCCCTACACGTCGCCTGCCGGTACGAGGCTGCCACTCGAGAACCTTTTTTCCCCATCGGTTGGCGGTTCTTCGAGCTATAAGGCCCGCCCATTGCCACTTCAGCTTACTAATCCGTTGGGCTATGTCGGTCAGTCTGGTTCTACTGCTGACAGTAATCGAACACGTCCGGAGAGAGATAAGACGCAGTGCCTACGGCTATACGTGCTTTCCGAGGCACTTCACCCCGTCAACTTCCTAACTTCGGGCTGGTACTAATTTCTTGACAGAAAACCCCAATAAGTATGGCCCGACCCGGAATTTGAACCCAGGACCTCATGATCAGTAACCGCGTTTACGACCACTAGACCAAGAAGGCAGTCAAAACATATCGGAATGTGGCTGTGTGCAGAGGTCGTTTTACCACAAAATGGCGGCGCTCCCCCCACCGTAATGTGCCGTAGTCCTCACTCAACGTAACGAATTCTTTTATCCTTTAGTTGTCGAGTGTTGTAATTACATTTTGGTTGTAGATGATAGATAAGTAGTTGCAAAACCATACTGTATTCCTCGATTCTGTTATCATCAGCTTTCTGAATTGCCTCCCACTTTAGAAGCATATTTAAAGACGTATTCACGACAAAAGTCGTCGCAGTATATTCTATATGAAATTAGTGACAAACAAGCTTAGTGGCCTCAGTTGCCCAGCAGACGGCTTCAAGTTAATAAAATATAAAAAAGGCATTGTCACTCCTGGAGTACTGGAGGACTACGACTCTACGATTACATCTCAGGCTAATACATAGTCTAGTATTACACTGACACTGACTGTTCGAATCAAAACATTATAATGACAATAATATTTAATATTATTATTTAGTATTTATCTCCTATCTCTCTACCCACTTACAGTTAATAACGCAGCGTTAATAACTAAACCACCTCGTTTAATCTTTTTTCTTTCTTAAGCCGCGAAAAATTTCCAGGGATTTATACCTGGTAGAGCCATGCTGCAGCTATATTAGTAGTATGGTTGTAGCACGAATAGGTCGGCTCGACCGGGGAAAGACCACGCTCTCACAGAATACCAGCTTAAAATGGCAGCTTGACACTGTTGTGTTTCGTATGGTGAGTGTAGAGGACCGGAGCCCCATTTTACTGCAAAAGAGGCAATCCATCTTAGTCCACACGGGTGACGACGCATCTGCATTTTGATTATTTATTGAGGATATGGGTCATAGCGACCACTTACCATCGTGTGGACTGTGTGCTCGTTTGTCACCCTATCGTATAAAAAAAATTCATTGTTCACATGACCTTATACAGAGCTAACATTTACCTTTAAGACTAAATCTATGTCCGTACCTAAGTTTGTCTTTTAGAAATATGTATGATGATGTATGATGTGTTCGATTGTAAGTGTTTGTACAATTGTGCTGTTATAAATATCTGATTATCTTTTGGATTTTCCCTAAAGAGGAAATATATGTATTGTGTAATGTATTTCTTGTAAAATTGTTTATCAATGTAATATATAAATTGTAATTAATATCTTATAAAATCCCAAGATACATACAATTGCAATTACAACACATACACATACAATTATTAAATCGATCAAACTGTTTATTTTAGTTGTGTGCTTGTGAAGATTTCATGAAAAACTGTTTGGTCTATGATTATGCGCATACAATCGATCCATTCGTTATCGCTTTAGTAGTTTTTTCTATTGGGTATTCAAATTGCAGCACTTAATTATACTAAATAATTACAACTTCAATATTAAATAATAAAGTACCAGCTTGTGCTTTGCTTATGAGCCTCCCAATTCATGTTAATATAGAGAACTGTCGATCAATAGTGTTTCGACTGATTAATCAAAAAGTAGTGGCTGTGTAAGGAATGGCGAAATAACAATATATATTACCCCATATCATCCCGTGGGTGTCGTAATAGGCGACAGAGGGAATCGAATCAAGAGATGGGCAGCAGTCTTCCTAATAACGACTAAAAATAAAAAAATGCGGTTGCCAACCCGCTTGTCAAGCGTGGCAACTATGGCAAATATCCCCCCTATGAGGCAATTTATCGGGGAGGCCTATGTTCAGCAGTGATACTTTAATAAGCTGTAACGGTATCGGTAATCAGAAACCAATACATGTGGTTATTTCATTTATTTTTCAAGCAACTATCAAGTTAACAATATGCGGACAGCCATACATTCCCATATACTTTCCACATAAGCTTTTCACTAAGCTAAAAATGAATAAAATAAATTGAGACCAACGTAACGACTTTTATCGTAAATTTTCAAATAGTTTGAAATTTCAGTAATGGGTATCATTTTAAGAGTAGGTAGTTTTGAGTGGTTATTAAAAAATCCAATCAAGACAAAATTTCTTAAGGTTATTCTTTAAATAACTCGCAAATTTTTTTTTATAAAATTACTATGACAAACGAGCACACAGTCCACCTGATGGTAAGTGGTTGCTGTGGCCCATAGACATCTGCATCTATCTTCATTTGCGAATTAAAATGCAGATGCGTTGTCAGCCTTGAGGACTAAGATAGAATGTCTCTTTTCCAATAAAATGGGTCTCCGGTTCTCTACACTCACCATACGAAACACAGCAGTATTAAACTGCTATTTTACGCTGGTATTCTGTGAGAGCGTCAGTAGCCTAATGGCAGTTCGGGGACCGCTAACTCGAAAGGTCGTGGGTTCGAATCCGCCATTCGACTACTGTCGTGAACCACTTCTAACACAAGTATTTTAAGCTTACCAGAAGTGGTTAAAGGGAATATTAGTAATGTTTAAAGCATTACTATTATTTAATTAATAAAGAAAAAAAAGAGCGTGGTCCTTCCCCGGTCGAGCCGACCCATTCGTGCTACAACTATACTATTAATATAGCTGCAGCATGGCTCTACCACGTAAAGAGTAATACTCATCAGAAACACATTAGGTTTTGGCTTTAGCTGTTGTGTAGCAACGAGGCAATGAAACTACATATTATAAGCCTCGCATCAATATAAATTAAGTACCTATTTAATATCTAACTAATTACTTACATTTATTTCACTGCACAATTTTAAATCACATCCGTTCCAATTTTTCTATCGTCTTACTATTTATTTTTAACTTCCGTTCGTTAAGATTTATCCGTTAGCGCCTAAACAACTTAATTATCACTAAGAGCTTGTGAAAGTGATGTTATAAAAAGTGAATATCACGATCGAGAAACTATTATTTTCATTGTATAGAAAGCACATCTCCTATGATAGGATTGCAAAAAAATACGAAATCATTTTTATACTAGGCAAATAAATGTATAATATTTTCACAACTTATTTTATATTTTCAAATTTTTTGATATATTTTTAGTTAAATTAGATTAGACACTATCAAAAATAATAACCTACTCATAATGTCTAAGACCTCTACTGCCTAATGGTCCACCCGAGTAGGTACCCCCTCTTACATATTACTGATGTCAATCATCAATACATTTACTACTAGTTGTCGATTTTCTTGTGTCCAGAGTATGACGAGCCGTATAACATTTCATGGACTAAGATCTAAGAGAACTGTGGTCTTTATGTTTTAAGTTAGTTGAATGTGTCATCGGCTGCAGTAGTTACTTGCCATCAGGTGGACTTTTAACCCGTTTGTCACTTTATTATTGATGCAAGTGGTGAAATTAAAAACTTTGTACTACCATTCTTCAATATAAATAAAATGAGAACATCGTCAATGTAGTCGAAGTCAATTAAATACGCATTATTAAAGATAACTCAAAAACTGCTGGTCAGATTTTGTTCAAATTTATATGGGATCACATAAGAAGCACCAGCTTTCAAATAGAATCATCAAAATCATAAAAAATACTGTCGAATTGAGTACCTCCTCGTTTTTTTAAGTCGGTTAAAAATGTTATCTTTGTCTGATGTTATGTGAATTGTATAAAATTTTAAGTTAAGATAGATGTATACACCGTTACCAATGTCTTTTCATCATTCAATTATACCAAAACTGCTCAAAGTTTGTGCTGTGCTGTAAGAATTGTGAACTCAAATTGTGCTACAACGACAAACAAAACTGCTCCAACCTTAGACTATAAATAAGCACTTATAAATACTCTAAGGCACCAACTATTTTCACACACCATAATTTGTTTTCACACTTAGTGCATGCGAAGCCATAAATGTCTTTACGAGAATAGATTTAACGAGAATGCATACGAAACCATTTATGGCTTTTATTACAATTTCTATAATATAAATTGTAAATTTTTAATTTCAATCTGTACACCATATGGGAGTGAAATAAAGTCCTTTTGGTGGATAAAAATATTTTTATTGAACCTCCATAATAATTCATGCGGTCAGGAGTTAAGATACATTTCCAAATCAGAAAGTGTTCTACATTGCGTTTCTTCTTGCCACTTTTTAGCTGAATGAAATATAACATAACATAACATAAACACTCACGTCTGTCACCCAGAGGGGTAGGCAGAGATTATGAAATTCCATTTGGCACGATCCTGACACACCTCTCTCGCTTCCTCCACATCCATATACCTACGCATACACGCTCGTCGGTTAAAGGTACTCTTGATTTGGCCCATTTTTAATATATCGCCAATTTGGTCGATAAACTTTCACCTAGGGCGACCCTTCCAGACTATGCCGTTCACCTCTGCAACATAAATTTGCTTTGTCACGCTGAATGAAATGTTGCTGATATTATGTTTTCTACAACGAATTTATCTCTTTAACACAAGATTTTTACCTTGCCCATTTTTAGACTGATAGCTCCTTTATTTGTACTGTGGTGACCCAAACCATACCTCCCACATTTGAAAGGATAATAAAAGAAAAAGTAGTGCAGAGAGAAACTTGTTTATCCAAAAATATGTAATAGGTATTACAACAGTTTACCACGACTATGCTTATAAAATGACCTCTGGTAAATGTTGGGCGAAGTGATGTCCATTGCGAATCATACACTTTTCAAGACGATGCCCGAAATTTACCATCACCATCATGACTTGTAGAATAACAGCTACTTCCGCTTGTATTTATTACTCTCTTGAGGTCGACAAGAATGAGATGTTTTATTCGCCTTTCAAATTTAGAAGGTTTTTTTTTGGGTTCACCGTTATAACATTGTTACAATAATAATTTTACTGATAATCGTGAAAATCATATTTTATCTCATTAAGGAAATCCTAAAATTCAGATTCATTTTACAAACTCTACTCACTGCTCACTCATATCTTAGGCATATTTTTGATATGTTATATACAAGTAGATATGTTTGCACGTACATACATTTTAAATTGTATACAAGAGCGATTACAAACTTTTATTAGCACAAAGCTTACTATTAGGGCGACTGCAGTAGAGAATTTATAACAAAAGATTACTAGTTGGCTTGAAAATAAAAACTAAGCAAATCTATCATTGTAGGTCAAACCTGCGTATGGATAATGGTCTGCACGGACCTGTTGTTCTCGGGCATGGCGAGTCACATAGGAATGTTACTGCGTCTATTGCAGCGCCGACTGGAGTCACTGGCCTTTACGGAGTATACGGATGATGAACACTATAAAGAAATTCTGTCGAATATTAAACTACATCAACGTTTAATTAGGCAAGTATATATGTACATTTTTTGACCTTTCTATCAGCAGACTGTAACTAGGACTGTGATGCTAAAATCCTTTATTCGATTAAAAGAAAAATATAAATGCTACTACATGCGTCGCCGTATAATGATGGCGTAAGACAATCCATAACTTATTTATTTATTTAAAACTTTATATACACACGTGGTAGTGGTATATAGGCGGACTAAATGCAAAAGAATACAAAAGTAACAATTAAAAATTTTGTATAAAAATTTTTGTTATTTTGTATTCTCATATTATACCTTCTTCATTCTAATTCTGCATCACGCCATGGTGGACTGGTAGAGAATGCTTCTGGCATTTAGTCCGCCTATATACCACTACCACGTGTGTATATAAAGTTTTAGTTTTAGAGTAATACATCTTCTCCAATATAAAAAAATGTGTTTGTTTGTTCGTATTTTATCCGCTGGTATACCGTTCATCAGACTGCGTTGAAACTTTGTCAACATATTGCTTGCACTTGCGCGAATGATATAGGCATAGAACAATTAACTTACAGCAGGTGGCGCGCGTATCGCATCGACAAATTTATTGCAAAGTTATATATCATTCCACTTCAATAAATGTATTTGTACGGGCAAGCCATCGTACATTCAATTTTATTTTGCGCTCACGTTTGCGACCTACTTTCGGGGCTCATGTTTAATTAGTAATAATTTTATTATATTTAACTTCAAATCAGTACATCAAAAACCATCCTACTAAACACTAACTACTCAAGCAAAGATTTTTTTTTATAGGATAGGATGACAAACGAGCACACAGTCTACCTGATGGTGTCGTTGCTGTGGCCCATAGACTTCTACATCTATCCTCGCTTGCAAATCAAAATGCAGATGCGTTGTCACCCGTGAGGACTAAGATGAAATGCCTCTTTTCCAGTAAAAAGGGTCTCCGGTTCTCTACACTCACCATAGGAAACACAGCAGTTTTAAGCTGCTATTTTACGCTGGTATTCTGTGAGAGTGTAGTCCTTCCCAGGTCGAGCCGAACCATTCGTGCTACATCTATACTACTAATATAGCTGCAGCATGGCTCTACCACGTATTGCCACAATAACCTTATAACTACTTTACTTCTTAATAAACCTTTTAAACTTTGGTGATCTTTTCCATTGGACGTGCTCATCAACTAACTTCAACTATACTTCTTGAAAGTGTATGGCCCTGCAAACCATACAGTATTTGTCATTCCTAATTAAAATAAATAAATGTTCTAAATTTAAACCAATATTTCCACAATTATTTCTTTTGCGGCTGCAACACGCCGGGTAACCAGCTAGTAATATATAAATAGTACATCACAAAAATATAAAAATGTCCTGCTGTCGTGCCGTGATTGTCGTAAGAAACGACTGAGAGTAATGAAAGAGGAGTATGGCAGTAAAAGGTATATGGGAAACAGCATCTTTTTTTTTCTTTTTTTATAGGAGAGGGGGCAAACGAGCATGCGGCTCACCTGATTCTAAGTGACTACCGCCGCCCATGAACAATTGTAACACCAGGGGAATTGCAGATGCGTTGCCGGCCTTTTAAAAAGGAATAGGCTCTTTTCTTGAAGGTCCCTAAGTCGTATCTTCCTGACTACGGCTCAAAATAATAAAAAGCTGCCTGCCAAACGTGGCAACTATGGCAATAATTACTTGCGTGGGTCTGGATTATGGTATTTTAATAACGTTAAAGTATTACGCGAACTAAGGCCTGCTAAGGTAATTTCTATAAAGAAGGCTAGAGATGCTTTGAAACTTTTACGCGCTAAGAGGACTGCATAATAACTTGTAGTTGTACCGTTACCGTTAACGTTACAGCCTACCAAAACACCACTGCTGAATATAAGCCTCCCACATAGATTGCCTAATAGGGGACATTCGCCATAGTTAAACTCGGTCACCTAGATAGTGGTAATATTGTGACTATCCTATTAAATTTCTGTTCTAGTACATATTTTATCATTTAAATTAGTGCCGTATGACGTAGGCGCAAAATGTATGTTGAAAAATTTAGTTTCATTAAAAATTAAAAGCCGACTTTAAACAACTCAAATGAAGAAATCGGTGCTAATACATACTCGTAATGTATAGAAGAATTAGTCTTAGTTCTTTGGCGTCGGCTTTTACTTTTTATTAAAAGTTACTTCCTTTTACACTTTTGAATGGACTTAGAATATCATAATCTTAACATTGTCTAAAAATGTAAATACATTAATAACTTTATCCACTTTTGTTACAATAACTTTATCTTCTTTTTTTGTATGAGACTACCCCTGAATGGTCCGAGAGCTCATGATGCATTTTTATGAAGTGTTTGATGCATCATGAAACTTTGTTGAAAAGTATCAGTCCACTCAATAAGCAGGTGTTTGACTGTTTGCCTGGCCTACTTGGGTACACTTGGTACTGCGCATACAGGTAAGTCGCATGAAAAATGCGTCATGAGCTCTCGGACCAGAAGTATAAACTATTTGATAAAAAAAGAATCTTTAAAATTGTTTCACAATTGATTAAAAAAATACTGTCGATTTGAGTACCTCCTCCTTTTTTAACGCCGGCGAAAAAGTAATTTTTTTTATTACAGGTCACCAAAAGTCCAATGCCTAACAATGGCTTTTATAGGGGTATATATCATAATTGCCACGCTGGACAGGCGGGTTGGCTATCGCAGTTTTTTATTATTCTCAAAATGAAATGTTATAAGGAGAATGTTCCTGACTATCTCCTGTTTCGGTCAAAAAGGAATGAGAAGTCAACTTCGATGATATTAAAAATCTCCCTTTGTCTCTTTAGAATAGATGGCATTCCGACATAAAACCTGGAATATGCTAAACCTAACACTAATAAAACTGAGAATTAGTAAACGAGACCCAACAGACAATTGCTAGATCACCTGTTTACCTGCCAAACACTAGACTACGACAAATCTTTCCAGCTTATGAAAATCTCATGAACAATACTCGTACAATCGCAAAACAAGCCCACGAAATTATTTTCTAAGTTATTAATATTTTCATGATTTCAGATACTGCAATAATTTAGAAGATGCATTTTCGCTTGTTAATCTAATTAATATTGTCTTTAGTTCGGTTAATATCTGCTGCGTAGTGTTCGTCATTGTGGTATGTATATATACGAGTATGTTAAGGCGTTTCCCTGACCAAATAACCCTGAGCATTCGTTTCCTCTTTAAACGTACGCCGCTTTATCATAGAATTCATACAATTTTTGGAATTATTTTAATTAAAAATGAAAAGCGAACTTTAAAAATTAAATAAAACGTGAATAATATAGATTTTTAAATTATTTATCCAAATGATTAGAGCGTTGCCTTTAGCAACAGATGCATGTAATCAATAATTTAAGTCATTTTTTAAAAGTAGATTTTAAATGTATTTATAACACATAAAAACAAATCAGAACGTGGAATGTGATGATAGGATATCGAACATAAATAATGTGCTTTTAGATGTAGTTTATTTCTCATAACTAATGAGATAATAGTCTCTAAATAACCAAGAAAAACGCACTATCACAAGATTTTGGTCGGGGTATCGCCTTAAGTGTAAAAACCGAAGTGCGATTACTCCTAGACTAAGCTATATTAACTAGGTGCATCCGATTTCGGTTGGTTAAACTTAAGTGTATTCGATTTATTCGGGGCTAAACTTAGGTGTAGACTGTTGCTTTCGGGCAAAACTAGGTAAAGTAGTCCGAATAAAAATTAAAACCTAGGTGTAACCGCACTTTGGCTTTTAACCGTGACCTAAATAGTTAGTAAATCTTATATTAATTTAATGTTAATTCACGAAATCCGTGTATTTTTTTTTATAGGATGGGGTGACAAACGAGCACACAGTCCACCTGATGGTAAGTGGTTCCTGTGGCCCGTAGACATCTACATCTGTCCTCGTTTGCGAATCAAAATGCAAATGCGTTGTCAGCCGTGAGGACTAAGATGGAATGCTTCTTTTCCAGTAAACAGGGTCTCCGGTACTCTACACTCACCATACGAAACACAGCAGTGTTAAGCTACTATTTTACGCTGGTATTCTGTGAGAGCGTGGTCCTTCCCCGGTTGAGCCAACCCATTCGTGCTACAACTATACTACTGATATAGCTGCAGCATGGCTCTACCACTTATTTGTTGTTATCAAGAAAATGCTGATGCTATCTCCTTTTTCATTTCTCTGTCTCTCCTTTTTCTGTCTCTTACGACAACTACGGAGTAGTATGGGGTACAGAGTAACAAAGATATGTTCTTAATCAAAGATAATGCTTTATTTTGTAAGGATATGTGATATAAATTTATAATGGTTATAATTTTTTTAGAATATAACACTTGTGTTTTGTTTTAGTTACTGGAGCCTTTTATGGCTGTAAGCAACAAATTGTTTTTAGGGTCGGCTTTAATTCAAATAGGTATGCTATGCTGGTATGCGGATGATATTTACCATGCAGTAAGTATAAAACGATCATATTACTCGTATTTACATTTAAAGCCAGGAATGAACTTAAAGAATAAAATAGTTTTAAAGGAAATGATTTCTTAAATTCACGCTAATTAAACACATAAATCGTATAGATAGATGGTGATGATCCGATGTCCAGCGATGGACTGTTATATGTATTATTGTACTCTATGGATCTGAATCTGATAAAAAAGAAGTGTTCTCTCTGTACTGCTAAACATAGCGAGACTATTTTGATCTACAACTAAACCTCCAAACTTAAAATTCCAATACAACAGTGAAATTTTAACTGATTACCATCGTTATTACAGCGTATAAAAAGTAATGCTTGGCAGGCGCAGTTTTTTTTATTTTCTAGATGTTATTAGGAAGACGCTGCTGCCCATTTCCTGGTCCGATTCCCTCTGTCGCCTTCTACTGGATATACGACAAAATAATACTTCAGTTATTGCCTCACGGAAAAAATACTTAGTTTTAAATAAGCAATCTCCATGTAACATAAATATTATTATTATAATCACATATATAGTGTCTCCCAATGGATAGGTCTTAAGATGAACATGGACAAAACAAAGATCATGTTTAATATCCATGTCACACCTATGCCGGTAGTTGTTGGGAGCACTGAGCTCGAAGTTATTGACGAATATGTTTACCTGGGACAAGTAGTCCAAATAGTTAAGTCCAACTGCAACCGAGAGGTCAATCGACGGATTTAACTGCTCTGCTGCTCTGCTCGGCACTGTTCAGGAGATTACGTCACGTCTTCTCGACAGGTACGAGGGTGACACTGAAAGTTTTTAGAACTGGCCACTTGTAACGATATAATAAAAAAATAAGTTCAAATTTTGAAAATTGAACTTTTTGCCTATATTATTGTGTACGAGGGGTAATACTGAAATGATCGGGAATAAGAAAAACCACATGCACGGTATGGCTAAATTGTATGTTATTGTTTTTCGAAGTATTCTTCGTTCAACTTACTGCACTTTTCCATTCGTGCAAACCAATCATTAAAACAGTAATTCCAGTCTGAAGTTGATGTTGACAAAATGGCTGATTTTTACGCTTCCACAGCTGCTTCGGGGTCTTCAAACCGTTGACCGCGTAATAAATCTTTCATTCTAGGGAATGTAAAGAAATCGTTTGGGCTCAGGTCAGGACTGTACGGAGGATGGCTCATTAGCTCAACTTTTTCCTGTCTTCCGAGCCGTATGGGAGCTCGCATTGTCGTGATGTAAGATGATGCGACGTTTCGGGTTATTCTTTCGGAGTTCGACTATCATTTCTGGCAAACAAACCGTGATATACCACTCAGCTGTAACCGTTCTGCGTTCCTGTAAAGGAATTGTAGCAACATGCCCCTTTTTCGAGACAAACGTAGCGACCATTTTCTTTGATACGCTGCGGGAGCGAACCACTTTCGTTGGTTTGACCTCGTCTTCGAAGACGCAAACTGCTGACTGATGTTTTCTTTCAGGTTCGTATGAATAAATCCACGATTCGTCACCTGAGACGATATTATAAACGGCATTTGACTTCCCTCCGTTGAAGCGTTGCAGAGTATTCCGGCACCAACCTACACGAGCCGCCTTTTGCTCTTCGCACAAATTGTGGGGAACCCAGCGGAAAACTATCTTTCTTACACACAGCTCATTATGTAATATCGACTGAATTGCAGTCATTCCGATACTGATAACAGCCCGAATCTGCTCGTATGTCACATGACGGTCATCTAATATAATAGTTCGCACAGCTGCGATGTTTTCAGGCGTGACCGCTGTTCTTGGTCGACCTGCAGAAGAAACAGTGCTGAGCGAAACACGACCGCGTCGGAACTCGGCATACCAGCGGTATATTGTCGTTTGACTAGGTGCTTCAACATCATAAATCGAAACAAGTTCGCTGAAATATTTATCATGAGATAAGCCGCGACGAAAATTGTGATAAATTATGGCACGGAAATGTTCATGCGTGAGCTCCATTTCTGTTAACCACAGACTGATTCTACACGAATCTGTTAACGACGTGTCAACTTAAAACCAACATAGTTTTTGTTTTCAAAACTTTTTTTTAATTGTTTGAATGTCATTAAGATTCTAAATGGCCAGTATTCAAATTTTAAAAAAGGTTTTATTGTAACTCAATGCGAAATATTCTATTCCCGATCATTTCAGTGTGCCCCTCGTATGTATTTTATTAATTTGCCATTTGTTTACGATTTCGCGGCAAATTGAAAATTGTCTGTCTCACGTCAGCATGAATTTAACGCATGACTTATCAGCAGATTCGGACAATTAGGCATCGGTATGAGTCACGTGCAAAAAATCCTACATGAACATTTAGCGGTCAGGAAGCTTTGTGCCCGGTGCTACCTCATAATTTGACAGAGGCCCAAAAACTCCGTCGTGTTGATTGGTGTCGTGAAATGGTTCAAAGATTTAACGGAGGTGACTCAAATGCTATGTTCGACATACTTACGGGTGATGAAAGCTGGATTTATTGTTATGATCCTGAAAGTAAGACACAGTGCTGCTGTCTGGGTGTTTCCTTCCGAGGAGTTGCCAACTAAAGTGAAGAGAGGTCGAAGCGTGGGAAAAAAGATGGTGGCCTCGTTCTTCGGAAGGACAGGTCATTACGCAACAATCGTTTTAGAGGATCGGCAAACAGTTACTGCAGACTGGTACACTAACAATTGTTTGCCATTTGTCTTGAAAAAAGTTCGGAAGAAACGACCTCGCAGTAGGATCCTCAAACAATCGACTACTTAGCGAAGTCAATCGTGGAATTACTGGATCACCCGCCCTGACCTTGTGCCTGACGCCTGAGCTTGCGCTTTTCATTTATTTCCGAAAATAAAAGAAAAACTTCGAGAAAAACGTTTTATGGACGCCGAGGAAGCAGTGGCTGCGTTTCAAAATAACTTCGAAGAGACCCCTAAGGACGAGTGGGCAAAGTGCTTTTCTCAGTTGTTACATCGGATGCAGCGATGTATTGATGTAAATGGACACAATTTTGAAAAGATATAATAAAACTAATAACTTGCTAGTTTGTTCAGTTTTTGATTTTCTAAGAACTTTCATTGTCACCCTCGTATATCTCAAAACTTTAAAACAAGATTGTACAAGCAGTGCGTGTTGCCAATGATGACTTATGGATCTGAGACGTGGTCCTTCACTACTGGCCATATGAGGAAACTCAAGGTCGCTCAGTAAGCTCTGGAAAGGGCTATGTTTGGGGTTTCTCTGCATAATAAACTTAACAATGAGGATATCCGCGGTAGAACCAGAGTGACCGACATAGCCCAACAAATTAGTAAGTTGAAGTGGCAATGCGCCGGACATATAGCTCGAAGAACCGCCCACCGATGGGGAAGAAAAGTTAATAAGTGGCAGTCTTGTACCGGTAGACGAAATGTAGCGCGCCCTCCCACTAGATGGAGTGACGACCTGTTAAGACATTCAAGAAGCCTATGGATGCAGGTGGCTCAGGTCCTTCCTTTGTGGCGTATGTTCAGCAGTGGACTTGTGAAGGAAGGGCTGTAATGATGATAACACAAATTTATCATACTATATATAGCCGCATAATGAAACTGTATTTCGTATGCTTAGTGACTACCAACTCACCAGCAAACTGTGTGAAAATGTCAATAAACATTAATAATGAAAGTCGCATTACTAAGAATAGATATGAAACAGATATTAACTCTAAAGATAAGCACAAGTACAGTCGTATTGCTAATGCAAATTTCATTTTAATTAATCTCCTATAAACTTTCAGAATGCCGATGTCGCGTCTGCCGCTTATAACAGTAGCTGGTATAAAACAAGCCCGCGCTGCCGACGTGCCCTGCTTTTCCTTATACAAAGGCGAGTGCTGTATAAAATATTACCTACATATCCACATAATATACAACCAAACTACAAGGAGAGTGGTTTTAAAAAAGCTCAAGGTCCAATATTGTTGGAAAACATATCTAACTTATAAAAAAATTATTACAACGATATAATATACTCATGTCCATATATAAAAATCCATATCCACCTGAAACCCACCATCAATTGCTGTTCATTAGTCTCGATAAAATTCAAAAACGGCTAGGCCTACTTTGATGAAATTTTGGTGGTGTTTCAATGGGTTCCTAAATGGTTTAGATTCACATTTGGACCCGGTATGTAGCGCTGTTGTCGAGCTCCAGAAATCACCCGTGCGAAGCCAGGGTTGATCGCTAGTGAACAATAAAAACGTGCCAGTCACAAAAATCTTATATATTAAAATATGAATGCAGACGAAGATAAATATGAAATAACAATTGCTTAGCAACCTCATTAAAAGCGTTTTAATGAAATTTACAAAAATTATAATTTTAGTAATATTTTTTTTTAATTACAGATAAATTAATTAAAGATCTTTTTATATTTTTTAGTTTTTATAAATTTCAGAACAAAGCGTTTCTCAGATCGATCATTTCGTCAATGTGTGATGTGAAAGAGATTTCTTCGTCAAAGACATGTAAAACCGTTGGTAAAATTTCTGAAAAAATGCATGAAATAACTGTATAAAAGTATATTTAGTTATAAATTAAAAAGTGTATTAGACGCTATCAAAATGAATAAGAAAAAAGTAAAAACAAAAATTAAAATTATCAAAAAATTGTGAATTCATTACTGTAGAATCGTTTTGTAAAATATGTTCAACTTCTGTTTTAAAAAATGATGTATCTATAAAGTATTACAAGAATCGTCACACCACAAAAATATGGAGGGTGACAAAGGAGCATGAGGCGGCGTTGTCGTCGCACCACAAGTGAAAATACATCCAAGCTTAAATCGAGCTATCAAAGCTCCGAAGTAAAAGCATTATATATAGAATAACTCTGAACTACCATTCGGAGTGTTGGCCGCTCCCCAGGCTGAACACCTTGCCCGGTGGGGAGATCTCTCATTTTCCCTTCACGGCCACATTGTCCACCTGATCGTAAGTGGATGCTGTGATCTAAATGTCTATACACTTACTATCCCCGATTTAAAATCAAAATGTTTTCACCCCTGAAGACCAAGATAGAAATAGAATGCCTCGTTAGCAGTAAAAGGGATCTCCCGTTCTCTACACTCATCATACTAAACACAACAGCATTAAATTGGTATTTTCACTGGTATTCTATTAGAGTATCGTCCTTCCACAGTCTAGCCACCTATTAATGCAACAACCATAAAATAACTGTAGAATGGCTCTAATACATTATTAAAAAATGTTCTCCTAGAAGTTTGGATCGCTATATATTGCATACTCTTGGATATCTTCGCGGCCAGACTGCAATGCACTCAACGATTTGTTCCGATTTGAAGAATAATAATAGCATAATAATTACAGGTTTGAGGCTTTCTTCTTAATCTCAAGAGCGAGAAGAAATCTTGGACCTTCTTTTTCTTAATTTGACTATATGACCATGGTCCACTAACTTATATAAAATTCTTAATTAATTATTCTATTATGCGTTCAACTAAATTGTACTATCATCGTGCACGCCATTGAATTTGAAAGTTCACACTACGTAGATCGAGGACTAATCAATGCTAGTTATATTGGATATGGTTATTTTTCATCGTTGTGGAAACAACTTCCACCTGAATAATTCGTAACTTTAGTTGTACCCCAGCACATATCGCTAGTCTTGAATAAAACTAATTTTACGGATTCTACCGAGTTTAATTTTAAAGCGACTTTCAAATTGATATTAAGCTCGAAATAAACTTAAGTTTCGAGTACTTTGCATTTGCAGCACTCGAAATCACTTGGTCCGAAGTGTTTGACGTTCTGAGTTTATCTTTAACCCGGGCTACCTTCAGTCTCCCATTACCACCAAATAGGCAAAGTAAATTATAATGTCCTCCAGACCGAATTTGTTCACGGTGCCCAGTCTCAACGGAGACTAGCCATCTGCGCCGGACAGGATTATAGAGCCCAAGTGTATGCGCAAGCACAGGTGCATTCTGTATTCCCTCACACTCATAGTCCGATGAAACGGTAACCAACACGACCGGAGAGATATCAGCAAGACCAACGGGTTTACGTGCTTTCCGTGGCACGGAAGTGAAACAACACCAACTTCCTGATTTCGAGCTGCTACTGAGAATGTCTTAACCGAAAAACCAAATAATTGATTATGGCCCGACCCGGGATTCAAACCCGGAACCTCATGATCACTAGACCAACGAGCCAGTCAAAAAAAGGTATACAAGTACTCCAGTCACTCATGGCATATAATATTATCTTGTTGCCTCTTCCAACGCCTTGAATAAGCTTTGATATGCAGTAATTATATTTAGGGTTGCGGCTACGATATTGATAGTTCAATTATTATTTGTCGTTTTCATGTACTTACTATCAAATTTATACCAACATTAAAAATTACAGATCTCAGAAACCGATAGCATTTACTGCGATGAAATTTACTAACATCTCGCTGGTAACATATTCTGCGGTAAGTGTTCTATTAATATATTTTAATTGCAAATCTACCTATATATTTTAATGTAATGAAAACATTTTTACCCTTACTGTTAACTTGCACTGTATTTATTGACATATAATTTTTTTTTCAGATCCTAACAAGATCATATTCTTACTTTGCCCTTCTGTATACAATGTATAGTGATAACTAAAAAAAAGATTGAATGTTTAGGTACCTATGTCATATCATTATGAAATTAATTATAGATTAATTTAGTATTGCTGTATATGAATTATTGGTGACATTGCTTTACAGAAAAATAAATCTTTGTTCTCATCAGATATTTATTTATTATTCGATTTTTCATTAATATATTGCTTGTGTGTACTTGTTTGCGTTTTATGCGAGTGTGTGTGTGTGTGAGTGCTATGACACACGAACATAAAGTCCACCTGATGGTTAGTGCTACTTCAGCTCATGGACTCCTGTAATTAATTTCAAAACAAGAAGGCTACAGACTACAGATGCGTTTCCCTTAGACCGAGACACAGCAATGCACACGCTGTTTCTAGGCGGAAAAAATAGATAAAAGGGTAGTTCCAGATCCCAGATGATTCCAGATTCAGACGATCCCAGATCCCTGACGAACTAGATCCAGACGATCCCAGACCCATGGCAGAAAAAGAGTCCTAACATCTACTAAGTATTATCTAACGCGTACAGGCAAACTGACCTCTGCAATCATCATTTAACAGTGAAGGTCACCGCGAGCCTATTGAGTGATCGACAGCATCGACATCTGCCGCCTGACGAATGACGACGCTTGCACTTAGTCATTTTTATAGACTTGGTAGATCCATGCTGCAGCTATATTAGTAGCATAGTTGTAGCACGAATGGGTTGGCTAGAGAACCGGAGAGCCTTTTTACTGGAATCGAGGTATTCCATCTTAGTCCTCCCTGGTGACAACGCATCTTCATTTTGATTCGTAAATCATAACCATTTACGATCAGATGGACTGTGTGCTCGTTTGTCACCCTTGTCCTATAAAAAAAATTGTGTTACTGGCTCCCCTGTCGTCCAACAGCGGTCGAATATAAAAATGTCGACGTTAACCTTCGACTCCATTAGGAGTTGCCAGATAGTCAGTCGTTGGTACAGTGCCGCTGGTCTTCAGAGAGAGTACTTAGAACTTATACCTACTTATTTTGAATGCAAATAATTTGTACAAATTTAAATTATAAAATTAAAAATTTAATAGTAATAGTATAATTGCAAGTTCAGCTTAATTCTGCTGTTTCGTATGGTGAGTGTAGAGAACCAGATACCTTTTTTACTGGTAATGAGACAGTCCATCTTTGTTTTCAGGGGTGACAACTGACAACGCATCTGCATTTTGATTCTTAATTGAGAATAAATGTAGATGTCCATGGGTCATAGCATCCGCTTACCGCCAGGTGGACTGTGTGTTCATTTGTAACCCTTATTCTATATAAAAAATAATAACAGTTTCTTGTAATAAATAAACGTGTTCTCACTTGCCTTACCCAATAAGATTTTAACACAGAACACAATTACTCTCTACCAAGAGGACTTTAATATGATTTCAACTTAATCTCGATGCCAATCAATTGCATTCTTTCAATTTAATCTCGATGCCAATCAATGCATTCTCAATATTGTCATCAAAAACTCAAATTTCCTCGCGTCAAAATTTAAATAAAAAAAGAAAGTAAAATACGTAATAAAACAATAAAACTAACGTTTTTCGAATTGGCCCACATTCAGGTGCAAGTTTATGTTATTTTTTACAGTTTTTGTGACTGTTAATCGATATTCTGATTTCGATTTAATTCTTCTACAGTATATTTTCTAGGACAAAGACCGTCGGTGGTCCAATTGAATAAATAAATGTAAAAAAATAGGTACCGAGAATGACCGCTTTGTTGCGGCGTCAACGCGGCTTTTGTTTTTACTTGTTTTGACTGCCTCGTTGGTTGGTTGTAATCGCGACTGCTGACCGGTCCCGGGTTCGAATGTCCGGTCAAAATCAGTTATTGCAATTTTATGTAAAGAAATTCGCAGTAGCAGCCCGGTGTCATGAAGTTGTAGGTGTTACTCCCTCAGGTGCCTCAGAAAGCACTTAAAACGGTTGGTCATGCACCCGATCTGTTTCCGATTTTGTCGGATTTCCGTTCCATCGGAGTGAAAAAATAGGGAATTCACCTTAACCTATGTTTGCGCACACACGTGCGTTATAATTTTGTCTTGCACAGATGTCTAGTTTCCGTTAAAACTGGCCGCCGTGTCAAACTCAGTCTGGAGAACATTACTTTGTTTATAGCTGTCCAAATTCAGCTGAATTTAGGTAGTAATAAAAAAGTACAGGTTCTTTTAGAAATACCTTGCTTCCCATTTTCTCACTTTTATGTGCTTGTTCATTGCATTTTAAAATATCATGTTTTATGTAAACAGAAGACAAACATATATTTTTACTCTGTTTCTTCATTGTTACTAAATCCACTGCTGGATATGAACATAGGACTTCGTGATAATTTTTTTAACGTTGTCACCGCTGAGGACTAAGCTTGGTTTCCAATAAAAAAGGGTCTCCGGTTCTCCACACTCACCGTACGAAACACAGCAGCATTAAGCTGCTATTTCATGTGGTAGGTATTCTGTGAAAGCGTCGTATTCACCGGTCGAGCAGACCCATTCGTGCTATAATCATATTCGTGCCGCATTCTGAGGAAAGACCTTTTACCACGGGAAAATACCTTATTCTTACAGGGAAATTTGATTTTATTTGGGCGAAACCGCAGGGCGCAAAACTAGTAAAAGAATAATCTAATAAGGTTACTCTTGGACTGGGCAATCACAGGCAGAACAGGACGAATAGAATAGAATAGAATAGAATAGAACAGAATAGAATAGAATAGAGGGAGTGTAGAGAACCAGAGAGCCATTTTACTGGAAAAGAGGCATTCCATCTTAGTCCTCACGGGTCACGACGCATCTGCATTTTGATTCTTTATTGAGGATAAATGTAGATTTCTATGAGTCACAGCAACCACTTACCATCAGGTGGACTGTGTGCTCGTTTATCACCCTATCCTATAAAAAAACGACCGCGACAGGCTCTACTGGTACCGGGCCATCATCACAGACACGATACCTGATACGGTCGAGGATATTTTTTGGTTGACATTACCATTACATATGACGAAATTATATAACGAAATCCGATATTTCTGCGAATGAGTTAATCTTGGTCGGCCTCTCTGCTCATCTGATGCGACTGGAACTCCGTGACAATTAATTACATATATGTAATTAATTTATAATTTATTATAATATAAAATATAATTATGCATCCATATCAGGCGGGAATAATATGTAGGTAAATGCTGTCGAAATTCAACGTAATCACAACGCAATTACCATGTATATTGTCCGCCGCCGGAATCCAAGTCCAACCGATACTAATTTATAAGTCAAAACATTTTCCTACTCCTTCTCCTACAAGCACAATTAACCCTCAACAAAGCTAACATACTTAGGTATTATGATAAAAGGTTTAACTCGATAAAAAAAAATTACATTACTACTAAAACTACTCACTAAAAGCTAACTGATACCGTTGAACGAGCTGATTATTAATGCAAACGCGTATTCCATGTTTCTGATGCTAGTTTTCTAAAATCTTATCAAGATAAAAGCGTAGAGACGTTGTTTGCCGGACAAAGATACGGACTTTCATAACTTTTACTACCTCTAAAGGTCACTTATCTTAGTGATCACAGTGTCAAAAATACTTAACCTGATACCTGGTAAGAATTATAAAAAGTAGTAAAAAATGTATTCTGCATAGCTCATATTCCTAGAAGAACTACTTCAAACAATGTCCAAGTACATCTATTGCGGTAAATGTTAACATAATTATGAAGTGCTAAGGTTCTTCAGTGATTATGTCTCAATGACTATATCGTTGGCAAATCGAAGTGAGTGATGTCTTCGTCATTGATGCTGATACAGATAATTTTTCAAATGATGCTGGTAAAGACTACGAGGCCTTTGCAAAAATATTTTGAATTCGTTTCAAAGTTTTATAGAAAGAAACTGTTTATATTTAGAAACAAATATTAAGAAATAGTTATGCAAAATGAATATTATATTGTAGAGACTAAATTTTAGAACTTTGCAAACTTTGTATTTGATATTTTATTAATTGTATAATTTCTTAGATCCTGATATTTAGAAAGAACTTAAAAACTAGATAAAATAATTGTGTAAGCGCAAAAATATAATAAAATAATGTGAAAAATATGATGAAGGAAAGAAATCTTAATATAAACAGTAATAAATGGTGCATAAAAATAGAATTAATTTAAGCAAAAATGAATCTAAATGAATTTTACATGTAAGAACCACGCTACAGCTATATTATGATTGTAGCACGAATAGGTAGGCTCTACCGGGGTAGGACCACGCTCTCACAGAATACCAGCGTAAAATAGCAGTTCAATGCTGCTATGTTCGGTATAGTGAGTGTAGAGAACCGGAGACCCTTTTTACATGGGTAGCACAGTACTTTCGGGGTCTGAATTTCATTTATTTGATACAAAGTAAATGAAAAAGCATAATATAGGTCACCACTACGCTATACCATATATCAAATTAAAGCAAAAACAAAAATATTTATATTATCTTTTCAGGACATATCCAAACAATTACTACATTTTGCCGACACAATTTGGGCATGAACGCATTTTTGTGAGCAACAACAATGTTTTGCACAACTATGGCAGAAATAGACCGTAGCTATTGTTGCATTTATTAATTATATCTCAAATTTTATTTTTAATTTAAATATTATTTATTAAATTAAATTTTTGTTAAATATTATTTTTAAATTGAATTTAATTAATATTTATATATAATATTTTTACGAAGATGGTGATGACGAGTTGATGGCAAAAGGGGAATCTGATGAAACTGTAAAAACCGCCAGGCTAACAGCCCAACAATCACCGACAAAGATAAGATAATTAATTAGCCCATCCCAGGTTCCTAGGATATTATAGTTATAAGGCGACTTGAGGAATGCGTCTACTTAAGATCTTGTGGCCCCCTTGTGGCTCGTGATACAGCCATCTTATATCAGTTGTAGAATACCCGGACAGGCGAAGGAAAGCAGCCTCAAAGTTACGT